TTTCTAAGCTGCCTTTCAGGAAGGGAGTCTTGATGACAATGAATAATGCATTACCACACAAAACCCCAAAGATAATTTGAACATTAGGGAACAAGCCTACACATGTTTGACAGGAAGCATCCCAGAAGCCCCAGTCAGCCAGAACTATTTTCTGTCAAAACATGCATGGGATTGCATCCATAGAAAGGTACACCCTCAATTTAAATGGCTAAGATGGCCAGGAAAGATGATGCTGGAGTGCTAAAATAAATGGCTTGTGCTAAATCTGGATGCTATTGGGTCCAGGAACCTGTTCTGCTTGGCTTGCATGGCATAAGATGCTGTTTCATCGGTAACAGTGCTTGCTTTTGTTTCCCAAAAAACACTGAAGTTACCCCATAAGAAGGAACCACTTAACCTAATAAGTCTGTAACAAGTGTTGCTGCTATGCAGCTTCTTTTCTATTTATTTCAATGGGGTTTGACATGGAAACCTTATGACAGACCTTTAAAAAAGGTATGAAGAATGGTCCAACAGCATTGCTTGCTGGATTGCATCCCAAAAATACAAAAAGAATTGATGTTTTATTTATTTTCATATATCCCAGAGAAAGCAGGAATAGATTCAGCAAGTAAATGGAGTCATTTCCCAAAATCACCAGTATACATTTATCCAAATAATCCTTCATGAATTACTTCTTTTAAGAACAACTCCATCTATTACCTTATGTATGAGATTGCAGTGGAAATCAAATGTATTCCCTGCACAGTGCCAATTCTCTACACTAGCTGTTAAATGTGTAGAGTGAGTGAGCCGCAAATAGTGGCTGGGGACTCATCTTGAGTCTCTAAAGATCTCAGGCAAGACAGTGCATACTGCCAGAAATCCTGAAGCTTGAAACACAGACCTTGAAACACAGACCAGCAAGCCATTGTAGGCTATATGTCCTCTGAGTCCTCCTCAGGCAAAAAGGAGAGCAGACATTCACTCCTCCAGTAAACAGAAAAGATAAAGACTTCCAGCCCAGAGTATGATCTAAATTTTAGGTAGTGCAAAATTTAGTGAAACAGGGTGGAGTCTGGTCATAGTTGGAAAGGAAGGATATCTGGAACTCTTAAGTTCAAGTTCCTTTGTGCTAGTCAAATGTTAAAAACAGCACCAAGAGCTAAGAACACAAGGAAGGGATGAGCAGCCTAGGCAAATATCATCTTAGAGGAACTACTTTGTTCTGGTATGGAAGCATGAATTTCCCTACTCTTCCTTTCCCCTCCAGTTCCCTTCCTTTGTGTTTCTTGTCTTTGTACTTTGCAAGTTTCACAGCAAGACCTACCTTTCCTTTTATTAATTTGATTGCTTTGAAAAACTATCATTGTCTGAAAAGTGGGATCAAAATGCATTTGTTTGACACATAGTCCTGGAGGGGAGCTTTGATTACCCTGGACTGACAGAAAGACAAGCAAGTGGGCCTTAGATCAAATTGGGTAAGAAGCTTTCCTGGAAGCAAAAATGACAAAACTGAAGTTGTCATACATTGGACACATCAGGAGAAGGCAAGACTCTCTGGAGAAGACAGTCATGCTAGGGGAAGTTGAAGGAAATGAAGACCAAATATGAGATGGATAGACTGCATTACAGAAACCACAGCCTTGAAGTTGAACTAGCTGAGCAGTGCTGTTGAGGACAAGGCATTCTGAGGGGGGCTTCATTCATAGAGTTGCCATAAGGTGGAGCTGATTTGATGAAACATAACAATAAAAAATAAATACACAAATGAGAACTGAACAAAAAAAGGGGGGTCTGAAATTCAGACTCAGTTAATTGCACTCAGATGTCACTGAAATCAATGGAATGTGTTAGTCATGACTGAATTCAAGTGTCATTTTAATTTAGGTGCCATAGTTTTAACATACACTTGATCCAGCCCTAGAAAATTGACTTTGCCTGATCAATTGAAGCAGCAGATCCCTAGATCCCCTAGCCTGAGCCACTGACATCCGAACTGGGTTTGGGTGAAGCTGCCCAAAGTTTTGACTAGAACAGTCAATGTAGTGTTGTGATTAAGAGTGTGGGGCTGGGATTCAAGAGATCTGGGTTCTTGTCCCCACCCAGTCATGAAGTTGGGTGCCTCTGGGCTAGACATGAGCTCTTAATGGGCAGGGTGGTTTTTGTGAGGCCAAAATGGAAAGAACCTTGTAGGCTTTCTTGAGTTCCTTGTAAGAGGAAGAAAGGCTCGATATAAATGTAATGCAACAACAGACTGGAGAACATGGGAATCTTTTTGTTCACCAATGGCTCAGCTGTATTATGAGTGGATAGTAGGAAATGAGCTAGCAGATGTTAATTCCCAAAGAAAACAGGGGAAGGGAGATAAAATATCTGATTTCAAAAATGCAGAATAATATTAATCCATTGTTCATTATAAGCTTTTCTACATGGGTCCATTAATGTGTTGCATCTGCTTTTAAATATTTAAATACTAGACAAAGAGCATCACATTTTCATCTGTTCTGCTAGATGGCACAGTGCACTGCAGAACAACACAAATGCACAAGTGACTTCCCCCCCACTTTTACAAATAATACTACATGTTCCTGTCCTAAAAGAATGTCTCCAAATGTGCTATTTAAAAGCAGAAGAGAAACTGTCTAATGCACTGGTAAACAACCATCAGTACACAATAAATGCCTCATGCAGAAAACGCCGTCCTGCAACGATAATCAACTTTAAGGCAGCAGAATGAATCTAATCAGTAAACAGGAGATGAAAGAAAGCGTCTATGCCCTGCATTTCACTACCTGGAGAAATCATTTGGTTTTGATGAATACTTTTTAAAGAAAAAAAACCCTACTATATATAACATTATCCATTAAATGCAAAAAAATATTTTAAGATAGGACTATAGCTCTAAGAAATATGAACAACATACAATTCATAAGTCAAGTTAAATAAAAACTTTTATGATTAATTCTTAACAAAGCTACATTTGGCTATTTCTAGATAAATATTGGAAAGTGTGAATTGGCCAAAAGAGTAATCAGAAGCTACTGCTTTTGTGGAATATGAAAGATGCATCGCCCAAGCCAATTAAAATAGAGTACTTGCATCTGATTTATATACATTTTTTTAAAATCTTGTAAATCAAAGTTCATTTAAAAGATATGTAGTGATCAAAATTACAGCACTGGCTGGGGGTTGCGACAGGATTTCTCCACTCATGACACACACACAAATCTCAAGCCTAGATGCAGTAACACGTAAGATGTTTCTGCACGCTATCCAGTCTGGCAACTGAACTGGCATAGCAATAGCAGTAGCCAAGCACTGAATGTAACCCTTGGGAGAACTGCATTTCATCCAGTCCGCTGGGTTTTACCTCTTGACAGAGTGTCACAAACACAAAGGCAGGAAAAAGCCAACCCTTCTTCCCATGTGCATGCCACTTCTCTCTGTGCTGCAGCTGCCTACTAGAAGCAAAAGGAGGCTAGCAAGGATGAGCTGGGGATTTTTCTCCAACTTAGGCGTAAATCCAGAAAAGAATTTCAGGGCTTTAAAAACCTGTCTTCTTTCAATGCACTTTATGAAACTGAATCTCATAGCCAAGCTTGAGCTTAGAGAAGCTCATTGGCATCCCTACATTTGAGCTGTCTTGCACAATACCTAGGAAACTGTGAGTGCTACTTCATCTGTGGCCATTCCTATGACCCTCTGAAAAAATATAATAATTATAAAGTAATAAAGTTACAATCAAACTTTTTGTCTGATGTTTGATTGTACTTGTCCTGCATGCTTCTAAAATACGTCAGTGACTCATGCATCCCCAAGTGGATGGGTGTCACAAATATGCAATTCCACAATGTTGAACAATGCAGGTGGAAGCTTATACACTCCCAGGGCAGCATGACAGACATGATGACAAGCATGTGCTTTAGCTAGCAGGTAAAGAATCTTTTGTGTCTGGAATAACACAAAGTGCTTGAGTAAGAAGCAATTACAGAAAGGAATTCTCTATAAGTTTCCCTTTCACAGCAACATGTTAATTATACTCCCCAATGAGAAGCCTGCAGGAATGGATACCTCTCAATGAGAAGAGATTTCAGCAAGCCTGCAAGAATGGCTACCTCTTTAACACACATTCACTCATCACACTTTTCTTACAAGTCAAAATTAGCTACCTGTGTGACTTGAGCAACACTGTTAACATTTCTTAGTGTCTGCATCCGATTGATATTGGTAACATTTGGACAATGGAATAATCTGAGAGCCACTTGAGAAGTTCCCAGTGTGCGGGGAACTGCTTGTGTAGATGATATAAGAAATTTCCCATGAGCTTCACCTACCTGACTATCTACATGCTACAACTGGATGGCTGCTCTTTCAGCCCTTTTCCTTTCCAAATATAGTGCTGCTAAAACCTGGCTTTCAGTGTACTGCTACTCAACCATTCCCAGTCACCCTCAGATACATTTTTGTACCACTGATCCATACCAAAGCCTCAATGATTTCTTCTCAAGTTTCTGCAGTTTTAGAATATTTTTGCAATGGTGCACACAAAAACTGGCCAGAAAGGAGTAAGAACGGCAATAACTTGAAGTGAAGGCTCCGAGAGCCCCAAACGCTCACTGCCTCCTTTCAGATATACTGTTTCCTGAAGTTAAGAACTGTTATAAAAACTTGGCAGTTACACTGTTGTCAAACTCTTTATAACTTAGATATACAGAGAAGATAGTTAAACACTGCAAGGAATCAGTGCACACACAGGGCATGATTTTAATGACAAAAGAAAGCTACCATTTGGGTTCCACTTTTTGTTTTCTAAGCCAGCTGTAGGGATTTTTTGGTGGGTTGATGGTGTTCTTTAAAAATACTGACTATTCTAAAGAAAAGAAAACAGAAAAGAAAAGAACATGGCAAGGAAAAAAAGTAATTGGTAAAAGAAAAAAATACGTGTAAGAAAGAAAAACAAAAACCCTGAAACTCTAATGCGCATGCTCAAGAAAAGTCATATCCAGCTAGGTACTTACAAGTAATAGGAGTAGGAATATGCATTTCTTCTAAATATGCAGTCAGATGTGGAAAATGTCCAAAAGTGGAGAAGAAGGAAAAAAGCATGATTAGCCATTATTTTAAGCTTGAAATGTACACAGTATCACAGTGCTTCCTCTACTAGCCAATTTGTGTTTACTTTTTCCAAGCAGTGTTATACGGCTTGGTAGTTAACCGACTACAACAGGAATTCCTGGGTTCTACAACTGTAACTTCTCCTACTGAACTTCATGGTCCTGGGCAAGTCACTTCACTGTGTTTGGAATCCTCTCCAATGATACCTTCCCATGGCTGCAGAACAATTTCAGTATATTGATAAAAAGCATGAATAAGAAAAGCTTGGTGCCATAAAGAAATCTGAAGGTAGTGATGTGTGAGAAATAGGCTCATCTTTTTTCCTGTTTTTGCTTTGCTTTGCTTTGTTTTTTGTTCTTTTTAATTGATTCTGGTAATTCTCTTGGACCTGAATGCAAATCGTAGCCAGAAAGCCATACAGTTCTGAGTTTGCAATACATTTTTCAAAACAACAAAAATGCATTCAAAAACATATTCACATTAAAAATGCACAAAGACAAATATGTAAATTTCTAATATTTGTCCAAGTACACAAGTATATGCATACAAAATGTATGCATTTAAAATGTGTATGTTCAAAAATGTACACATGAATATATACATGATTAGAAATGTATACAATTTTCCATATGGAAGCCTTTTATTTTTTAGCAGAAAAGCTGGTGTGAATATATGGGCAGAATGAGCTTGACTTGAAAGAAAAGGTGGGAAAAAAAACCTCAGTCATTGTCAGTAAGGCTGAGAATGACATATTGGGTCATCCCTAGATGCCGTTGTTGCTATTCTTCCTGCTGCTGTGGGACAATTTTCCCCATTTTTTTTTTTTTTAATCCAGAAAATTCCAAACTGTGTCCAGGAAGTATTGCCCTTACTCTGTCTTCAGATGTCATTATACAGTCAAATCTCATTCCAATGTAGTCAATGACATTTGACTAAATGATGACATTTGAAAGCAAAACAGATCCTGATCTGGAATCTCATGGGTAAAACAAGAACAGAAATGGTGCCTGAAACATTGGAAACAGCAACTGTTGCCACAGCAAACAGGATAAACACTTGGTCTGCGTTTCACCCCAAAAGTCACTAGTGGGCAAGCAGCATGCAAATAATATGGTGAAGCAAATAATGTGATTGATTCAGTCCTACTAAATCCAGGTTAATAGGCTCATTCCACTTCTTACATTTTCCAGTAATGGAATTGCTTCTGAATATGAAAATGTAATAAATAAAATCTGTACACATCATAACTCATAATTATGTGTTCTGTACATAAATGATATCCCTATTAATATTTTGATTTCGAATACTATCTGGGAAAGAGTAAAGTGTTAGCAAGGATCCTAATCATACCAATACCAGTGGTAGTTGCTCACACACATGCACGCACGCACACATACACACTTTAATAGTCATACAACCTGCACAGAAGTCACCTGCTTGAAGGGAAGGCATATTAACCCTGTATGTAGATTTTCATGCATTATCACCACACATGCATATACATCCTGTACAACTCCACATGGTATTCCACTGATGCGTTGCCTAGTTCGAATATTGAGATAGCATCAATTATTCTTACAGAACTGTCCTGAACCTCTATGGGGCATATTCAAACAGGTCCTGCACATGGGGCTCCTCATGCTGTTGAGGCTGGATGTATATATCCAGTTAGTTAATCAGCGATCTTGCCAGTGTTCATGCCAACAACCTGTCTGGAGGATGTGAACTGTTCCTTACTTCTTCCCTGCCAAACAGGTAATTAATATGATTGCTGACTGTTTAATACAGTTATATATGCATAGACCTGCCAGCTATGCATGCACATGGTGGGGCATTTGGCTCTCCTGTCTTAGAATAAATACTATCCTGGCAGCTCACTCATAAAACTCTCAACTTCTAATGAAGCAGTACACAATTTGGGAAGTCCTTTTAAAACCGGCATCTAAGAGCAGGGCTGCCATCATAGACTTGTGAAACAAGGCATCATAGTACAAGTTGTCCTCTCCTGGAAAATGTGACATCACATACTGTCATAGGCAACAAACACAAACAAGTACAGTACGGTAAAACACACCATTTCTTGACAAGACTATTTGAATTTTTCTTATTCGTGAGAATGAAGAAGATAAGGAATTCTTGAACATGATCACAGCACAGTTTGGTTTGATGACTATTAAAATTTTCCTGGCAATTAGCAAAAAGCTTACTATAGACAGGAGATGAGATTTCCCCAATGCTTTTTATTGTTCCATGGTTTCACTCTGCCCTGTGTTACACTCCTCCTGAAGTCCAGTTGAACTAGGACATTTTCAAAAATTAATCCTAGAAGGAATTGAAGCATTTGTTGTTTGCTAAACACTCAGTTCCTTTGCATCTTTTCCCCCCTCTCTCTTAACCTAACCTCCATTACCATTGCACATATGCACATGAACGTAATACTGGAAAAGAATAAGGATAAAGGAAATTTTTGTCTGCTTTGCATTTTGATAGAACATATGGAAGTTGAATCAATATGCAAATTGTAATGCAGTTCTCTTTCAGTATTCACATTTCTCAGAATTTTGTGATGCAGCGCTCCAAACAAGCATGTGTACAAAAATGCAAGTATTAAGCAAAAGTGCACATACGATTTTGCATAATACTGAAAGAACCATACAAAAAGCATTACATAAAGCAAAACCTCTTGGGAAAAGAAGCATATAGTAAAAAAAAATTGCACACCAAATGTGCATATTCAAAGAAATGGAAGACATAAAAGACTTACAATTTTTAATACAGACTATTATTTTTTAAGTCTCCAGCTTATGTGTGAACAATATTGAACAAACTGAAGTTGAAAAAATGAGGGAATGAAATAAAAGGAAACTGCCAGTTTATTCATGCCTAGAAAAAAAGCATTTTTGTTATGATCATTGTATGTATTATTATCACAAAACTGCTTTTGGTGTGGTGTTTTACTGATGTTCCTATTGGTAAAATGCCACACAATAAGAATCTTGATAGAACTGTATATACAATTGCATCAAGACACTTTTTCTTTTGCAGTTTCATCAACATACCCAAGACACATCTTCATTGTTAAAATGCCACACAAAAAGAAAAGTATCAATATACAAGCATAAATATTAACATATTAAGGATTGTTCAGTGCTTTATTAATGCACACATGAATACCAGAATGTATAAATCAGGAAAATACATATGAATGAAAGGAAGGAACTGAAAGGAAGGAACTGAAAGACAGCAATCTGTATGTGCACAGTGGTAAAACTGAGAAATGCATACAATTCGGAAATAAACTACAGACCATTACAGGATTGTGCAATCCACTAGTTCCACTTTGGAACCAAGACCACATAATCTAGAGTTCCAAAATTTGGAAGAAATGAGGTATTGTTTGTTTTTTTGTTTTGTTTTTGCAGTATAACTAATTTTATGCAGAATTGCTAGTTTTGTGGGTTGTGCGACCCCTCCCCCCTCCTCCGTTTTGCAATGGCAGGACAGTTGCAGAATCCAGGAGAGAACAGCTCCTCTTATACCTCCCAAATAATACCATGAGTTGTAGGGATGGAAGGGAAACCACATTATTTTGTCTTCTGGACTGTGAGTTTCTATCTTCAGTAGAAAACACTACCCTCTAGGTGCTGAGAAATAAAATATTGCCATACCTGCCTAATTATGACAGGCTTGGACACGAAGCAGTAATTATTGAAAGCATAATTACTGCTTCAATCCAGATGCTATAGTGTCATGTGCGGAAATGCATTAATTCTACATAATTTAATTCCACATAATTTTAATGTTTTCCATTTCCCCTTTAGAGACTTATATTTAATTTGAGCCTCACAATAAAATTTTGAACGTAAATATGCAATGTGTTAAAAATGATGACATTTTAAGAAGCTGCCAATAAGGTAAAGGTAAAGGAGTCCCTGTGGATTTTACTGCACTTAGCCAACGGCTAATAAGGGGTGGTGCTCATCTCTGTCAAGGTTGTGAGCCAGCTCTGTCCAAAAATGATCCCACGGTCATGTGGCCTGCATAGCATCATGGAGTGCAGTTACCTTCCCACCCAGGTGGTACCTATTTATCTCCTTGCAATAATAAGCTGCCAATGAGACATATAAAAAGTCCAGGCTCTAATTTTGATTCAATGCTACTGGGGGTTTCCAAATGAAATGATGTAGGTTTTTACTTCCTTTCCAGCCATTTTAAATTATGCTTCCTTAAAGCATAAAAAAGAAAATAGCAAACACCATAGCATGAGTAACAACATGTGTCATAAATTCAATGACTAAATTTGATAAAGGAAAAGTTACAAAAATTATTCAAAGGAAGGCTTGTCAGTTCACTACATTACAACAGTTGTGTAATTATTATTAATTACATTATTATACTATTTAATGTGCATACAGAATTCATATCTAAACACCTTAAGGCTGGGAGATTAAAAAAAAGAAATGAAAGTAGAAGGTTATATTTTTCTTTTCATAACCTTTGCAGGCACGCTTCCTCATGGCTTCAGCCTCTAACACTCTCCATGACTTCACTGCAGCAACTGAAGCTGCGAGCACAATGCACTCCATGAGGGTATAAGCAAGGGTGAGTGTCCAAAGAAGGACACCTGCACCTTCTCCATGTCTCCCCTGAACCCACATAGGAAGAGAAGCATGGGAGTTTCTTACCTCCTTATCATTAGAGGTAATAGTGTACTGGTTACCCAAGCCTCAGTTACTCAACATATTGGAGCACTGTCCTTTACACAGATTGCATGGCATCATGCAGTCAACTGTGAAACTCCTTTTTACAACAATCTTTGCTATGCAAGCAATTTCCCCCATAGGTCTCTTCCCAACGGGATCAAGGGGCTGCATCTCCACTATACCGCCGCCACTCAGGCACCAGAGCAGTCGGTGGAAGTGGTGGGAACACT